ATGGCCCAGTACCCCTCTCCCCTCTTTCCCACTGCTCCCCTCAGCAGTGTATTTCAGTACATCTGCCTGTTCTGTTTCCCACTCTGTTTCTGGGGGATCCTCTCACTCCCACCCCTGGCTTGCACCCCAGTTCTTGTGTGCATAAATAAATAAGTCTTAAAGAAACACGATAAGGGGTCCTCCCTGGTGGCGCAGCGGGTTAAAGCACTGCACTGAGAATCCAAAGCCGCTTCCGCATGAGTTCGATTCCCGCCTGCCCCGGAGGTGACCACATGGTGTGGCAGACCTCTCCTGACCCGCCCGCTGCTCCCCTCAGCAGTGTACTTCGTCGATCTGCCTGTTCTGCTCCCCATTCTGTCTCTGGTGAAGCCTCTCACCGCCCCTGAGCCTCTGGCCTGTACCCCAGTTCTGTATGCACAAATAAAAAAATCTTTAAATAAAAAAAAACAAAGCACGATAAGGTACCATCTCATACCTATGAGCATGACACATTAAAAAGACCCCAACCAAGAAGTACTGGAGAGGATGCTGAGAAAGATGAACCTCATTTCTTACACTCTTGGTGGGAATATAACCTTATGCAGGCATTATGGAAAGTGATCTGGATTTATCTTACAAAGCTAAATATGGTGGTGATGGTGTGTGTCTGAAAAGGTATGATCCTATCCTGTGAATCACACATAGTATTGTAAACATATCTTACCAAACAAACAAACAAAAACAAAAACAAAAACACCTAAGAATGACCCAGCAATCCCACTCTTGAGCAAAGAACACAAAAACATCAGTGTCAAAGACTATATACTCTAGAATGCTTAGTGTAGCACTCTTTACAATAGCTTAGACATGGAAGTGGCTTAAATATCTCAATAGGCTACTGGATTGAGAAGATTTTTTAAATGTATTTATTCGTGCATACAAGAACCGGGTTACAGGCCAGTGGAGGGTGAGCGGATTCACCAGAGACAGATTGGGAGCAGAACAGGCAGATCAAGTGAAACACATTGCTAAGGGGAGCAGCAGGAAAGACAGACAGGAGAGGTCTGCTGCGCCATGCGGGTCAGCTCCCTGGCCTGGAAGAAAACCATTGCTGCAGTGGCTGTGGAGAGCTTCATAGTGCCGTGCTTTAACTCGCTGCGCCACCAGGGAGGGCCCAAGAAGATGTTTTATATCCACACTATGGAACAGTATTCAGCCACAGGGAAAAATGAATGAAATGCAGTCATTTACAGCAAAATGGATGGCATTCTAGGGAATTATGCATAGTAAAGCAGGTCAGAATGACAGACCAGGTAACAATTTGACAAAGTAAAATATTTAAAAAGTAATAGCAGTAGTGAGGACTCCAAGGTTAAGAGGAGTGTGGGGGGTAGAAAGGCATTGAGGGATCATGGTGGGGAGGGGGGCCTACCTGCATGTGCCCTGACCTTCCCCTAGGGTCCTGGCTGACTCGAGCAGATATACACTAGTAAGGAAATTTAGTAGATTACTAGGAAGTTTAAGTGCTATGATAAGAAACAAAACGGGAATGGAATGCTATTTTTGGATAGTCAGGGAAGCCTTCCTGAGGAGATAACCTTTAAGCAGAGTGAAGGGGAGGGGAAGCCATGTAACCATGAAGTATGTACACATCTTGAGAAGAGTGTCCAAGCGGAGGGAGGAACAGAAAGGGTGGGGGCCCTGAGGTGGAATAATGCCTGGTGTGTTTGAGGACTGTCTGGAGGCTGCTGTGTTTGGAAAGAATAAAGTAGAGAAGCCTGGAGAGATTGGCAGGGCAGGAATTACACCCATTGGCAAGTGGGAAACTGGCCCAGCAGAAGACAGTGCTGCTTGAGGGCCCACAATTAGATTAACCTGACTGATCCTCCATGGCGTGTCGTTACCCGGTGCTGTGTTTCTGGGGGGATAGGAGGACTGGAAGACTACCATGTACCCCAGAGAGAATATGAGACGTCCTTGGGGCAGCCTGGCAAGGGGTGATGGTGCTGACCCCTGGGGTCCATGGGCCCCAAACAGTGCAGCCTGACAGCTGATCTGATGCAGGGACTCCAGTCTGTCCTACTAACAACCAGAACATGTTATAACCCAAGCCACAAGCTTCCTCTGCTCAGAGCTCCACTGTGGCTCCGTCTCCGTCAGAGAAAAAGCTTAAGTTGTCCCTGTGGCCTGTGAGGTCCAGTAGGACTAGGTCCCTGTCAGCTCTCTGATCTCACCTCCTGCCACTGGTCCCCTCACTCACTCTTTCCCATCACGCCAGGCTCCTAACTTGTCCTTAAATGTGCCCTGCCTCAGGGCCTTTGTGCAGTCTTCCCTGTCTGGATCATTCTTCCTCCACACATAGCACTGACTGCTTATGGGCCCTCCCAGGGTTACAGTCTGGGAAGTAAGTACTCCCGGGAGCAAACAGATGAGGGAGTAGACACTCTTGAGGCCACTAGATTTGGGTGTGAACCATTTTGGTGACACGCTCACTAGGATGTAGATGCTCCTGGGTCACAGAGCCTAGATTTGGACACTCCTTGGGTCCAACACTATAGTGTGGAGACTCTAGGTTCATACAGATGTGGCCTCTGCTGAAGTAGCGCACACTGGGATGTGGTCCGTGAAAAGTCCTATTGGTGTGTGGACGCTTCTGGTATCACACAGATAACTGTGTGACTTAGAGGGGTCACAGATGACAGTTTGGACACCTCCTGGGTCACCTAGTTTGGGGCATGTATACTCCTGTGGTCAAACTATGATCTGGTAGCTCCAAACAGGCTCAACTTTGGATCCCCTCAGTCACATACTTTGGTCTGGTATTCCTGGGGTCATAGCCTGGGCCCAGGACAAGGCTGAGGACACATAATATGACGAGTAGATGCTACTATGGTCAAATGACTGTGGAAGTTGACTCTTGGATCAACACTGACTTGGCTGTGGACAACTGTGGTCACATAGCTGGTGGTGTGCACTCCACTGGGGTCACACTAACGGGGGCAGAGACACCTTCAGGAACAAGAAGCAGATGGGGGTGAATCGCTCTGGCATCATACAGATTTGCTGTAGGTATTCCTCTGGTCACACAAATGGGGACTCGACACCCTGTGGAGTCACATATATGTAGGGTTGGACATTGTTTGTCACAAAAACCTTTGTGTAGATGCTTCTGGAATCACCGAGACTGGGGAGTGGACTCTTCTGAGGTGGCTGGGCTGGGCAAAATCAGGAACATCACAGGCTGGGCTGTGGCCCCCGTGGGGGTCACCCACTAAGATGGGTGTAGAAACTGTGGTGACACAAACTAAGCCACAGCCATATCTGGACTCATACTATGAGGTAGATTATCCTGGGATCACACTGGCTGGGCAGGATGTTTGTGCTCAAGCATTGGGGTGCGGACACACCAAGATTAATCTACCAAGCCCACCTGGGGTTCAGAGACAAAGGAAAGGACACATTGTGGTCACACATACTGGAGCATCAGGCACCTTTGCAGACATCCCCAGCACTACCACGCTTGCCATAGACTCCTGGGGTCACTCAGAATGGGGTGTGGATGTTCCTGTGGCCATACTGACTTGGTAAGGACTCCTGGGTTAAGATGTTATGGGGGGCACCCCCAGAGTAATAGAGTTGGTCCAGACACTCAGTCACTCTCAGGTAGAGAAACACTGAGCGTCAGATTGGGATGTGGGTAATCCTGACACTGGAATGGAGTGTGTATAAGGCAAATTGAGCTTCTAGAAGCTGCAGAAACCAGTTAAGCCCACGTAGCTAGAGAGTTTCTCAGCTTCTGTTGCTAAGTTGTGTAATTAGGGACTGCAGTTAGGCAGATTTTTCTGACATTTCAGAATTCTTAACATAGGGACTCCCTGATGGCACACGGGTTAAAGTCTCAGTGTTCTCAAGCTATTGCCAGCACTGCAACCTAAGTTCATCCCCAGCCAGGGAGCTGAGCCACATGGCAGAGCAGACCCCTTCCTGTCTCGCCCACTGCTCCCCACAGCACTGTATTCTAGTCAGTCTGCCTGTTCTGCCCCCTACTCTGTCTCTAGCGAGTCCTCTCACCACCCCCACCCCTGCACCTCTGGCCTGCACCCAAGTTCTTGTATGCATAAAAATAAAGCATGTGCATGCTCACACCCTGAGCACACAGGATTACTATGGAAACCAACTGAACACTATGAGGCTCCTCAAAAAATTAACCAGAACTACCATATGATCTGGCAATCTCACTACTGGGTATTTACCCAAAGAAATGGAATTGCTATCTTGGAGAAAGACCTGCGTTTCCACATTCATTGCACTGTTATTCACAGTAGCTAAGATATGGAAACCACTATCTGAGTGAATGGATAAAGAAAACACGATACGCAGTCACGCATTGCTGAACGAAGGGGGATACATTCTGAGAAGTGCATTGCCAGGTGATTTTGATGTGCAAACGTCAGAATATATGTTTAGAAACCTAGATGGTATAGCTTACCACACAACCAGTCTAGAGGGGCCACCCCCATACATGCAGTGTTACTGATGAAGCATCGTTAAGAGACCCATGACGTAGACACAATGTAGTATTATTAAGCCTAGAAATTCGGACACCTTAAGGGCATTATGCTAAGAGAAGTCAGTCAAATATTGTATGATCTCACACTATAGTATGTGGACTCTAAAAAAATGAACTGACAGAAACAGGAAAACAGCTCGGTGGTTGCCAGAGGAGGGGAGTGGAGGGTGGGCAAGATGGATGAAGGGGGTCAAAAGCTACACACTTGCAGTCATAAACAAGTTCCAGGGAAATGACAGACATCATGTGACTATGGTGATCAGTTCTGTATGGTGCATTTGAAAGCTGCTCAAAGGACAGATTTTCGAAGTTCCTATCATATCTATTGTGGTTATTTTGCAGTGTGTGCCTGTATCCAATCAGTATGTTGTACACCTTAAGCTTATACAATTATAACCTAATAAGGCTGGAGAAATAGACTATATGTATTCAAATGAAACAATACCAGAATGCAATAATATACTTTTTAATTAGTTGATCAAATTATAAGATCTTCTATGACTCAAAGTACTGATGAAAGTGAACAATATCTCAAGTTGCCTGCAACAACTGTAATCTAACATAAAAAGTAACTGTGACTTGTATGGGTGGAAGGTCACAGGCATTGCTTTTACTACTGTGACTGCTGCCGGCATTCATATTTGGATGTCAAGCTAAACTTCAGTTATATTAGTGAAAATAAAGATGTAATATTTTCCTCCATAAGTTCATGGATACCCTGACTTCTATCCAGGTTAAAAACCCCTGCTTTTGGGGTAAATTCTGTACAAAATCAGGACACCCCTGGAAAGGTTTGCAGAAGAGGGAAGGAAGGCATCACTCTAGAATTCTCTCTGCAGTGCAGACATTCATTCCATGAAGTTTCTTTCCCTGCTATTTCTGTGTGGTTGCAGGTTTCTGCACAAGGCTTGTATGTTCAGGACCCATTGATGAGATATTTGGAAACAACTTCATCAACGCAAGTTCTGGTTTTCCTGAAAGTAAATAGCTTCTGAGTTGTATCAGTTTGTCAGTTAGCTGGAGGGAAAAAAAAAACAAAAAAAAAACAAAACAAAAAAAACAAAAACAAAACACAAAACTTTCTTACATTCACTCAGCTACAAACATCTTTGTGAAGTTTCCCTAATTATACGGTGGACCATAACATAGAAAAATGCACACCACACATGTACACTGAGTGTAATGAGCAGCAAGAAGGTGCTGCTTTGAATGACTTCAGGGTGTCCATTCTCTCCCTGGGCGGTTCTTCGCCGCACGAATGTATCAGGATTTAATGGCCTACTCTATGGTGGATGGGTGTTTGGACTTTTTTGAGTCTGGAAGGACTACTATATATGGTGCGGGCTAGAATGTTCTAGTACACACTTCTTTAGAAAAGGAACTGGCATACATGAAACTTTAAGAGCTAATGGCCAACAATTTCCACAGAGGCCACACTATTGGCGCTGCCATGTGATGGGGCCCCTTGCAGCTGGATAGCCCCCCAACACTTAGTGTCAGTTCGCATTTCCCTGGTGGACAGTTTTTCATGTGCTGCTTGGTGAGCCGCATATTTTTTCATCCTTTTTGATTTACAGCATTTTGAAATCAAGATTACTATAGAGAGGGATTATAAATACCTTTGTCTACTGTAACTCACCACTTCGTTTTTTAAAGGTGTCTTTTTACTTTTTCTTAGTGGAAAGCCTGTCAGAAAGGGTCCTCCTGTATCGTGGCAGCCTGCCAGTGAGGAGCCCTCCCTCCAGCCTCGACAGGTTTCTGCTTGCTTTGCTACAGGCAAACTGGCCCTCCCTGCGCCCTCACACACAGGTGCAGTCCCAAGCCAGGGCCTTCGCACTTGCTACTTTCTCTCCCTGAAATGCTCTTCCCTTAGATAAACACAGGGGTTCACTCCCTCGTCATCTTCAGGTCTCTGCTCAGACATTACCTCAGGGAGGCCCTCCATGACAACACTTCCACAAACTGCAAACTGCCACTCTTAGAATTCCTCATTCTCTTCATCTCTGCTTTATTTTTCATTTCTTTTTCAGTTTTAAAATTATGTTTCTGGAGGTAACATTGACTGACAACACAATATAATGGGTACAGGTTCACCCCTCTGCAAATACATGCCAGCCTGCTTTATTTTTCCTCTCCTGTACTACTTTTCTACACTATATATTATATGTAAAACATTGTGCAGAAGTATACATACATATTATAATGTAAGCTATATAAAGTGAAATACAAGCTCTCTAGTGTGGATTCACAGACTATTACTGTTTATTACATGCTTCCCAAACAAGTGACTCTATAGAGGCTGGGATACTTCTCTGTTTTATTTCCCTGATCTAGCTTCAAACCTAGAACAAAAACATATGCCCGGAATATGTGGTCAGTGATTGTTTATTGAATGCCTCAATAAGTAAACTGTAAAATACTTAAAGCAGTTCTTAGCATACTACATCAGAGTCTCATTTAGTAAGGTTTGTTGATTGAATTTTATCAGTTAACATAAAAGTTCCAAAGGTGAATTTTTACTGTGATTTTTCTTATAGGTGCCCATTACTCAATTTTTTAAGATAAAAAGGCAAATTTACCAAGCCCTCCCTGGTGTCACAGTGGGTTAAAGCACAGCACAAAGAAGCTTAAGCCACTTCCGCATGAGTTCAATCCCCGCCTGCCCTAGAGGAGATCCACATGGCGCGGCAGACCTCTCCTGACCCGCCCGTTGCTCCCCTCAGCAGTGTACTTTGTCAATCTGCCTGTTCTTCTCCCTACTCTGTCTCTGGTGAATCCTCTCACCCTCTGCATCGCTGGCCTGTACCCCAGTTCTGTACGAATAAATAAATAAATCTTTAAAAAAAAGGCAAATTTACCTTAATATGTTAAGGTGAACAATTCATTTCATGGTCTTCCACCTACTTGAGAAAAAGAAGAGAGTCTCAGACACATGGCTAAACTTCTCCATTCATCACACTTGGTTTTACCCATTGGTTTTCACAGCTATTTTGAGGCAGGGAGCATTTTGGCCCCAGAAACCTAGTGATCTTGGGTTAGTGTGACTCAGAAAAGACACCCAGGGCGCTGGGTTTCCAGACCTCAGAGGTCAGCAGGGTGTGTCGTGGTGGGGAGGTGAGAGACTGGGTCAGTGTGTCCACTGTGCTGATGGGGCAGTCCTGAGGGCGGATCTCCTTGGCCAGTCGCCCCTTCTTCTTCAACGTGCAGGCCTCCTGGTACGGTGGGGAGATGGGGGGTTGTGTGGGTGGAGTGTACTTGTACTCTGAGCCGTCCTCTAGCTGCAGGGACACATGAGGAGAAGATGGTGAGGACCTGAGAACCTAGGACAGCGCCACCCCCTCACTGTTGGCCAGGCACTCACGTCCAGTGGGTAACTGCGGTCTGAATCATAGGAGCTCAGGTCCCCACAGGTGACAAATGGCACAATGATGCGAGTAGGACCGTCCAATTGGTTGAAATCTGGATCTGACAAACAGGGAGAAATAAGAAAGGCCAGGCCAGCACGCCTGGAGCTAGCCACAAGGCTGCAGCATGTGTGGCAGGACCTTGCCGGGTGTCCACCTGCCTCTCTCCCACTCTTCCACTGGAAATCTTTCACTTAGCTTCAATTGCTTCCTCAGGGAGGTTCTCCATGACCACCCCTTTGAAAACATTGGATCTCCCACCCTCTTTTTTTCCCCACACTGCACATACATCCACCTGCCATGCTATCATTCACTGTGTGGACCTTGTCTCACTCAATGCGATCACGCTAAGAGTAGGCTCTGCCTTTTCTCACTAGAGGCCAGGCTGCAGACCCTCACTGGGCAAAGTTCCCAAACAAGCAGGCTTCCACCAGGGGGCATAAGAGAGTCTGCTTAGGTAGAATTTGTTTAGGCAGGTGCAAAATTCAGGAGGCTCCTGAGACAGAATTCTTTTTTTTTTAAAGATTT